AAGATTCCCGTTTCAAATCCAGAGTTGAAAAAGATGAGTGTTGCTTGTATGTGAGGAAAGGTCACTTGGAAGAAAAATTGCCCAAGTGAAAGCCAAAGGCAAAAGCTGTTTATGATTCAAACATAGCTGAGTGTGTGATGAAGACTCAGACTTCTCATTAGTTATCATGACATCTATAAACAATTCATCAGGGGCAATGTGTTCAAGTTCTAGTGAGGTTATGGCTGCTTAGACTCTGCATGCAGTCATCATATGAGTCCCATGGGGACTGGTTTTTGACTTTTAAAGAACTTGAAAATGAAGTGTCTATACTGCAATAAATGTTCTTGCTTACAGAAGGGATGGTTCAGCTCCGTTTTGAAAGAATCATTGATGGGCGTCAACGGATCCTGAACTATGTCGATATGTACCGAGTTTGAAAAGGAATCACATCTTCAGTGGGAGTTCTTAAATCAAAAGGGAACCATGTTAATTGCAAGATGGAGTGATGAAAGTCATCTTAGGTGCACTTGCATGATGAAAGGAGTCGGGAAGGAATAAATTTGTATTACTATCAGGGTAATACAATTATTGGATCACGCAACAGTTGTTTCTAGTGATGACAAGGTTTGGAAACAAACTAGTTGTGCATAGGGTTTGGGACATGCAGGTGAAAAATCCTTGAAAAGATTGTCAAAAGATTGTCAGATCAGGGATTATTGAAAGATGTCAAAACCTGCAAGTTGGACTTCTGTGAGCATTGCACCAAAGGAAAGCAGACAAGAGTGAAATTTGGCATCGAAATCCATAATACCAAGGGTAGTTTGGACTATGTTAACTCTGATGTATGGTCAACGGCTTCTTTAGGTGGCAAACATTATTATGTAACCTTTGTTGATGATTTCTCTCGAAGGGTTTGGGTGTATACTTTGAAGTCAAAAGATGAAGTGCTAGGAGTTTTCCTCAAATGGAAAAAATTGGTGGAAACTCAGACTGGTAGACGCATCAAATGTCTCCGAACAGATGGAGGAGAATTACAAAATTGATGCTTTTGATAAAATCTGTGCAGAGAAGGCATTTGTTCGACACTTCACATTAGAAACACTGCAGCAGAATGGGTGGCAGAACGTATGAACGAACGTTGCTGGAGAAAGTTCGGTGTATTGTTTGTTAATGGCTGGGTTAGACAAGAAATTTTGGGTGAGGCTTTGTCATATGCGTGCCATGCTCACTTAAATCGATTACCATTCAACTGCTATTGGTGGCAAAAAAACCTGATAGAGGTATGGTGTGGAGAACCTGCTAACTGATTATGATCCTTAGTGTATTTGGTTCCATGCATTATTATTCCTGTAAGGAATCGAAGGTGGATTCCAAGAGCTAAGAAAGCCATTTTCTATGGGGATAAGCACCGGTGTTAAGCTTTGACTATGGTGCACAGAATCAAGAAAAATAATCTTTAGTTAGCAGAGATGTCACTTTTGATGAATCTAGCATGTTAAAAAAGGTGACGGTAGAGCAGTCAGATGGTACTCCACAACAGGTGGAGGATACTCCACAACAGGTGGAGTTCGATAGAAAAATTCCAATGATGGGTACTGAACCTGTAGAAACTCCTGAGGTAGAAGGAGGTTCGGATGAAGAGGAGGTTCAACTCCAAGAACCTCCACAGCAACTTGAGTCAATTACACTTGATAGGCCAAGGAGAGTTATAAGAAAGCCTGCTCGTTTTGAGATATGGTGGCCTATGCATCTCCAAAATTGCAGATGATAGCATTCCATCCACTTTCAATGAAGCTGTCAAAAGTTTAGAAGAAGTAAAGTGGAGAAAAGCTATGGAAGATGAAATGAAATCCCTTTATAAGAATCAGACGTGGAACTTAGTTGATCCACCAAAGGGAAAGAAGGCAATTGGATGCAGATGGGTATATGCAAAGAAAGATGGATTTCCTGACGGAGAGAGTGTTCACTATAAGGCAAGGTTGGTAGCTAAAGGCTACGCTCAGACGAAGGGAATTGATTATAATGAAGTATTTTTTCCAATTGTAAAACATTCCTCCATTCGGATTTTGTTAGCCTTGGTAGCACAGTTTGATTTGGAACTAGTTCAATTGGATGTAAAAACTGCATTTTTACATGGATTTTTACATTGGAGATCTTGGAAGAGGAAATCTATATTGACTCAAGGCCCAAAAAGGAAAGGATCCCCTCTCTTCCCCCCTTTTTTTTTTTTTGTTTTTTTTTTTTTTTTTTTTT